TGTTATGTATTATTGTCCATATGTAATAAAAAGAACGTTCAGTACAAGGAGACAAGAAGGTATGAACTTTATGTTATCGTGGTAAGCAAACAGAAAATTCGTATCTTCTTATGTACCACCGGATAATATCCTCTATGTTTAAACTAAATGATGGGCCGTGCAACGTAACGCTGATTAACGTAACGTCACGCTGATTAACGTAAAGTCATGCTGTGACTGAGGTTTACAGTATCTAGGGCTCGAGCCCCTGTCGGAACGGCCCCTTTTTCCAGTCCTTTAACGCTTCGGTTCTAGTTCTACTGTACCCAGGTTGTGCAGAACGTTCTGTGACTGCCTGAACATGTGACCATTCCTCCTCCTCCTCCTCCTCCTCCTCCTGCTGCTGCTGCTGCTGCTGCTGCTTCGTCTTCTTCTTCTTTTTTTTTTCGCTTTTTTTGAAACAGTAAGTGATCGAATAATCTTGGTCTTGATCTTAATTTCGAATAATGTGATCTCGTCATTTCTGGTGAACGCACGTACTTTTTCAGCGCGTTCGGTGACAATAAAACGTGACAATTAAAGGTGACAATAAAGTCAGGCCAACTACGAAATTCACCGCAAGATTTTGCGATTTATAGTGTTTGCCCATCCCACTTAACAAAGGATGCTTAAAATATACTATAGATGGTAGTAAGTCTTGACAAACGGACTAGCGTGGATAATTCGTCTGGACGGCTGATCCGTCGTTTTGCCATACACAGACGAATAATCTTACAAACTGCCGTTCGTTTCCCAAGTTCGTACTAGAAGGATGATCAGTCGGTAGAATTTATACTCAGGAACAGATGATTCGTGTTGACGTATGATCTCTCTCTGGTGAAAATCGAGCTACATACGTCCTTACGAATTTTCACGCACCATTTAATCGAAATTATTGGTCCTTTTACAAGCTAAGGGACGTCCGAATTCCTCCTGTTACAACCTGCACGATTTATTCTGAACATTTTCAATACAAAGGAAGAGTATTAATTATTTTTAAAAGCTCGAAAGATCTACGATCGGAAAAACCAACAAAAGGCAGCCACCGTACCAGTATTTTGAGCTAGTCACGCTATCAGCCACGAAGTGTCTGTAAACAATATAACGATATTAGAAAATGCCGTGATCAAAACCTTTGAAAAAAAGGACTTTGTTTTTTACTGTAGTCATTAGCTTGTGCTTGGGTCGGTTGGGGACATATGTGGTCAGTTAACGTCATTGACAACCTCTGAAAATTGATACGAGGTATTCATTTTGCCACGACACGAATACCGTAGTCCAAAGTATTGCGTGACGTATCTTGTGGCAAACTGCCGAGAAAGGAATGCGGAGAAATAACAAGCCTGTTTACATTGAATTCGAGTGAAAGGCAACTTTTCTTAGGTCTTCGACACGCTAAAACATTGTCAGCGATATTTGTTTGTTCATCGGACGAGCTTCTTAATGCAAGACACATAAATAGGGGCTTATAGGACAAGACCTCTAGCTACTGGTATAAAGGGATTGTTGACTCTCGTCGAGGCTATTTTGTAACTTAAGTTTGATATCATATCCCACCGGACCTAATAAGTTTAAGAATGTTTTACACAAGTATTACACCTATAAGATACTGCACGTCGAATACTGACTCACCTGACTTGGGGTATGTGACCACGAAAATGTCATCCGGCCTTGTCTGAAAATTCGTAATAAAGTCGCAAAGTAACTGAGGATTGGAAGCGAAATCTAGAGGCATTTTCAAGCCCAAAACGCTGATGAGTTTTTCTGACGTCCACTCGCCTTCTATAACTTGAACAAATGGAGAACTCGCCATGATCATTAGTAACGCAGCACAGTACTTCAGCAACTTCCCTGATCGAATTCGGATACAAATCTCGTTTCCAGATCAGAGGCGATCTTTTCGGTTAGCACAGCTGACCGAAAACGCGCGGGCTCCGCGTACGAGATTGTGAGTCACGCAACTGTGTAAATGCGCAGTGAAGGCTTCTGAAAATCAAGTCACCCCTCGATAGATCGCGTGACTGACACAAACTGAAGCCTGTGTATTTAGAATACGTTTTCACTACGTGATATTTTCCCGGNCAATACAGAAAGTCAGTTCCATGTTTGTGCAGTGAAGCATTCTTTTATTCGCGGGAGCGAGAGGTAAGATAAAATTCTTTTTTTCCTTTCTTCCGTCTTCGCGAAAAAAACAAAACAAGCCAAGTCGTAAGTTAGTGTCTCAGAGACTAAGACGCGCGCGCGGAAGGGAAATTCGGAAAAGTAAATACGTTCAGAACTAACTTAGAGCCTGCAAAAGCCCAACAAAATACAAGTCTCATTTAACAAACCTTATGTAAATCTTCGTATTTAAGAAACAAGACATTTGGATCATCTTTGTGCTTCCACCATCCCAGAACATGGTCAGTCCAGAGGTTCCAAGCCACTGTTAGAAAAGATCAATTCAGAACTAGTTACAGGAAGCACGAAAAGAGGTCCTTAGAGCACGGCTTTAAATAGCGACTTTTCGTACTGGTCACCCCAAGCGAGACGACAAGAATCCACAACCTTTTCACATATGAGAGAGGCCGATAAAGTCGTTAGCCTCCAATGTTTTTTGCCTCAGCTCTCAATGAAAAATAATCAAAGTGGCTATCAGCCACTGAGTTTTGAAAAGGATCGTCTGCAAACGGCGGCAATTTTTATGTCACAACGCTGAGGTTTAATTATTTGGGTGTTATGCCATTGTTATATCGAAGCAGTAAAGATAAAGCCAGCTGGCATTGTTAGGAAAAAACGCAAAACGCAACTGTCAGAGAATACATAAGGAGAGATGTGACACAGTAAAAAGCACTCGTGAAGTCAAGATGCTACCACAAGGAAAGTCAGGCTGCTTCTCCACCTGGGGGTACTCCCTTAAATGGGCTATTTAGGTATGTACGGCACCAAAGGGTAGGGTTTTTCAGCCTTTTTGGTCATAAATAGGGTATCGATTTTGGCCATTTTGGTCTTAAATAGGGTATGGTTTTTGTACTCTAGTCTTGAGTTGGGTATGTTGTTCCGAAGAAGCTACAGCTTTTCCATCATTATCGATAAGACCATAACAAAAGCCCTTCAAAACTATGTTTAGGGCAGCTGTGTCAGCCGCAACGGTCATAAATAGGGTATCAAATTTTTGTTCCGGTTATAAATAGGGTAGGGAAAATCGCAGATTTTGGTCACAAATAGGGTAAGGTTTTGGGAAGCGAGCCGTACAGCCCCTCCAAATTTTTCTGTGAGTACTCTACTGGCTTCTCCACCACTAGAGCTGTTAGTAAGCGAATGCGTGACCAAGTAATAATACCCCCGTGTATTGTGGGTAACTTCTCATCAAGGCATTTGTTTATATTATTTCGCCACGTTTGATATATTTATTCAGTGAGAGTAAAGTAATTATACATTGCAAAACGAGGTGTTCGAATCAATTCTTCTATACGTCTCTCGTCAAAAAAAATTCAATCAAAAAAGATTCCTCCCCCCTCCACCCCTTTCTCCTTGATACACGAGCCCTAAACTTAACTGAACGAATCAGTCGAATCATGCGAGGAAAAAGGAGTTGTACAACAAATTAAAATGCTTGATTGCTACCCATTTCTTCTAACCAGTACAAGATTAGCAAGGGGTATTTATAGAACACTATCAGATTTTCTAGAGTCTTCGAGTTCAATTATAGTTAGCAAACTTACGTACCATTTCCTTCCACAAATGACTTGGCATAAAACTCCCATGGCCCATTATATCCATTTTCCAAAATCTTCAAGTTTGCCGTGAACTGAAAAAATGATACTGCAACATCTTTTGGATTCCGAGTAATGTAAATATATTTACACTTGTTGTCTTCGTTTGCACTTTTAGGAATAATATTGTAGGGAAGATGAGTCTTAACGATGCGGGGACTTGGCAGAGTGCTGTAGTTTGGTTTGGGAAACACTGTACCGGTTGCCATTTCTAGGAATGGAACTCGTTCCAGGATATGGTCGCTTGTGACTCGTCCTTCATTAAATATCTGCCAGAGAATTTCTTGAACCCAAGTTGTCCCTGAACGAAATGATGTTAAATTTAGTATGTAATAAAGTTGAC